TTATATAACATTGAACTTACAATGAAACAGAGATTAATATGTATTTTTGAAATTTCGAAAAATACGCTTTTTTTGATATATGACATATCGAGTTTGCTTTCATTTGTATTTTTTGGACTTTGGGACCAAATTTTTTTGAATTTTTATTTCTTTAAAAAAATATTTGGCTCATTGTTAAGAAGTATGCAAAAAATTAGGAAGGTGTTCTTTCTATAAATGTATTTATTTTACGTCACGATAACGGTTTCGAATAGTGATTTCGGGAGGGGAGCTTACAAATGGCGTGGTAAAGCTGCCTAGTGACATCACGGGCTACTGAAATTTCAATTCAAGTCTGAGTCATCTGAAAAAAAGTGAAAAGAGGGTTCATTCAACCCTCTTTCCTATAAGCGCGAGGGTGAAAAAGGCTGTTTGGTTCTGACATTGTTTTGGACGCCAATGACCATAGGTGTCCGAGATGAAAGTTACAGGACGCATACATGGTGTCCTCCAGAGGTCTCACAACTTGTATATCTGGGAATTTTTCAAGGTTACATGAGGTCAGGTCGGTCACGTGACATCACTGTTATAAATCAATGGGGAAATATAAAACTGTTATTTTGGCGCCGAGAATGATCTAAAACTATCCTACGTACATGGTATCGTGATTTCATGCACTCCTTGCAAAGTCCAATGCTTTACTTTTGCATTGTTAACCTTGCGTGACGTCATTTATGACGTCACTAGGGTCGTACGAGTTTTTCGTCAATAACTCCCGATCAAATGGAGCTAGAGAGTCGGGAAACCACCAATGGACTCGGGAAGACCTTCCTAATCGAATGATATGCCATATGATACCCTTTGCCCAGCTTCGTGACCTGAGGGGCTCTGACCTGACCTTGACCCGAGGTCAACTACTTAAGTTGACCTCACCCTAGCAAAAAGTATACCATTCGATGCACCTGAGCTAGGCGAACACAATGATGCCAAAATCGCGGCTCTGCGGCCATTTTTTGCGAAGTTATTTACTAAAAACCGAACCCGTAACTTCAGTCACGTGACCTGACCTCAGACGCTACCGGTTAACCTGAGACCTTAAAATCGGGTACCAATCGCTTCGACTTGTAACGACACACACGCTCGTTTTTTTCCGCGAGGCTCTAGCTCTATTAGAAGCGAAACGGCGTGCTGGGGTCGTATCAACCCCTCCGAAACCCATTTTGTTTGCGGGAAAATGAGGAAGTTCTAGAAAGAACACCTTTCTAATTTTTTGCATGTCGATTTGCAATGACATGAAGATTATTTTGAAAAAATAAAAATGTGAAAAATTTTGGTCCCAAAAGTCATTAGAGGCAAATGAAAAAAGATTAAGGTTGTTGCTCAACAATGAAATTTTTTCTTTGGAATTTTTAAATAGTAATATTAATTTTTGATTCATCGCAAGCTTAGTGTTGTTTACTTTTTGTTGGTTGCTTAACCCGTTCTTGAGTTATAGGCCATCAAACTCACCGTTACATACCGATGTTAAAAAAAATGTAATGCAATATAACTCAAAAAGTTTTGATCTGAGAAGTCTGATATTTTGCCAGGCGTCTTTGGGGCCTATGATTACCCCTAGGACCGATTTTCATTACAATCTGAGAGATGAGGGTGACGGGCCTGGTACGATCTATCGTGGAATGCCCCAGCGGTAAAACGTAAATGCACCATTTTCCCCTACTTGTGTCATCAAGTCATTCCCGTAATAACCACAAAGAAACAGGACATCGAGATTAAAACATTCAACACAGAGTGATAACCTATTCAATTAGCCATGCCGTCTTTCACAGAGTACCAATCGTAACGCACGCTTGCATCAGACACGGTAACAGTTCAGAAATGTGTAAGGGCATGAGAACGTAGACCGTGCTGCTGCAAGCATTGATGGCTAACTGATTTTTTTGACGAATTGTGGAAAGCTTCATCAGGATTACAGAAATACAGCAGCTCCATCAGTGATGCAGAAATTGCAGACACCGGCTACTTGCAGGTCGACTCTAGAAAAAATAGGATTAGGATGAGTCGCTGTCAGGCGGCCTCCCTACCCTGCGGCGGTACCGGGTCTCTCGATTATCCCGCTCCTTTGTGCAGCACGAACCGTCTGTGGGAGAAGTTTGGCCGTGAATCTCGCCAGGCGGCGTGCCGACAGCTCCTCTCCTGCCGCTCGGCCGTCCTGCTACCCCCGACATCGCCAGACTTCCTGAGTAACGACTCAGCGACTCACTGGGTGGTGCAGTCGCGGTGCACCCGTGTCAGACGGGCCCGTGGCATATGGCAGCGCGGGCAGCGGAGGAGCCGGCACAGAGACTGACTCATCACAGCAGCGGGTACCAGACCATACCGGAGCAGAGCCACCACAGGGCGTGGACGGCGCGCAGCGAGGGTCGGAGACGCGCCCGATATAGAAAGGAACGTCCGGCGAGACCGGGACGACCAGTGGGAACCAGACCACATTACTTGTATAGTTTATATGTAACAAAATGCTGAATGAGTCACAGTGACTCGCAGTCGTTAGATGCATGTTGGTATTTTCCTACACACAATTATGTCCCGTTACCAGAGATTCACCTTCGCGACGGGACATTTTTCCTCTTAAAATGATGGGATCATATGATGCATCCGACGAATAAAACAAGCCGGCGATAAAAGTACAGTTGCTGCCACAGATGACGTTACCAAAGGAAGGAAACTAGGCAGGCACGAGTGCTGCCTAGCCGGTCTGCGTTATAACTTCTCCAGCCACAGTTAACGTCAGCTGTCGCCTCGTTACTGCAAATCCACCGGCGCCTCTGAACGGCAGAGCAGCTCCGCAGGAGTAGCAGCAGAGGCACCCTTTATCGTCCGTCGGCCGCTCCACCGTTCGCCGACGCTCTTCATATTCTGTCAGTAGATCTCAGTAGATCCCAACGTCCAAATACCGTTAAACTAAAGAAAGCATCCACCGACAAATACCTAGTTATCCAGCAAGCACTACTGACCCGCTAAACCCTGCAGCTAATCCCGCAGACGGTTCCCCAGGGGATGCGTGAGTTTATGGACGGCGCTCGTGGCCGCGGGCCGCGGCCCCTCAGCCCTGCTGACTCATGCCGCTCCGCCGAGGCCAAACAACGGAGCTCCCACTGACGAGCCACTGCCGGTCCGGCCACACGGGGCAGGGGGAGGCGGGCGGAGAGACGGACTGACGGTAAAAAACGGACACCGGACCAAATGCTGGCAGCCGCAGGTCGGCAGAGGTCACACCCGACGTCAGTCGAACTGAGAGACGCATTTCGGCCAGATCAATTCAGAAGAAGGGACAGATAAGTCGCAAAGGTCGCCTAAGAAAACGTTGATTCTGCGTTGATATGGGAAAAGCTGTCTCTCAGCAGACGCAGAGTCTGCCCGAGAGCCGTGTAGAGGACAGGTTCAGCATCTGGTGTGGCGCCTGGCTGTGGGCGTCCCGTTTCCGCTCACATCAGCCTGCCGGGAGGCTCGTAGGAGGTGCGCCAAGCTGGATTAACGGTGACGCATTTATCAAATAAAAGGCTTCTGAGTAAGCCTCGAGAGTTAGACATGCCGTTTAGTCTGCCCCGCTTATGTTTATTGTTTAATTAGTGTCGAGCTCGCAGCGTGGGTTAATAAATGTAGCGTGAATATAGCAGCTGTTAGTGGATATGGTTGGCAGAGCTGCTAATTTGGCACTACATTCATCTGACACATCTCGCGTTCAAAATGTGCAAATCATCATAACCTTTCTGGGTTTCACAGCCGCCAACTCGGTGACCAAGCAAAAAGTTGACACGACACATGACTTCGTGAGCAAGTGGAAAAAGAAACCACTTCGTCGCCACCATACCCTCAGAAAGGCGGCATCGGGCATGCCAATGAAACGGTTCACTAGTCGCGCCACTCACGTCCCGAGAAAGCGGCTTTCAAAATCCGTCTGCTTTCAAAAAGCCTTGACAGCTCGGGTCACATCCGGCGACCATCATTCCCATTGGAAGTGAGGTCAAGAACTGAGAAACATTGATGGTAGACCAGAATTTGGGACGATTCTCCTCGTCTCCGACCGGAAGGGCCACATAAACTAATAATTACACATTTCGAGCCACACGCCGACACCACCGGGACTTAAGGTCATGACCGCGCAAATTGAACTCAATTAGCGCGGAAATTGGATCAAATGGCCGCACCCGGTGCTAAATTGCATCACACAGGGGCATCAGTCGTCCCGATAAGCCTGAGCTTACCGCGTGACTCAGAATTCATCTGAAATCGGCGGCACAGACGGCTCTGTGCACCATCCCGGCCGAGTCTTTATGTAAACAGACCAAAACGAGCCAGCCGGCCGGCGCGGCGACCCAGTGCCGACCCAGACGGGCCCAGTGTCGACCCCAGCCGCCGACCCGCCGGTCTGCGGCGCTCTCCGGCCAGTGTCGGCTGACACAACAAACAGCGCTGGGCGCGGTACCGACTACCGCCGACACCCGCCCGGCTCCGGTGGCGGCGCAGAGACCGGTGTCGGCTGTCGACGCAGACCGAGGCGCAGCGACGCGATCACAGTCCCATACTGGAGGGGACGGGACGGGGGGCGGGACGGACCCGATGGGAGGCAGGTAAAAACGGCGGACAACCGGCCGTCGAGGCGACTAAAAACAGCCAACAGCGCCGGGAAGGTAGCGAACTGGGTCACAGTGAAGGCGGAGGAACCAGACTCAACGGAGTGTGGAGAGTCTCAGACGAGAGCCGAGGATAAAACCAGTGCCGTGCAGACTGCCGCGGAGGATAAGTTAACACGACATGCGAATCCTGGTTGGTAAACACAGCACGCTGCAGACGGAGACAAACACGGATAGCTCCAGTTAAGTGGCCACTTACTCCTATCTCCAGGATAGACGGTAAACAATCGACGGGAGAGAGAATGGGTCTGGAACGTGAAGGTCAATACTTGACGGGGGCGATACCCCAGTCACCAACCGGGGTCGGGTCGGGGTGGAACTGACCTGCAGTACCGGCGGCCGGCGGCGGGGCGGGGCCGTCCATCTCGGTGTGTCCGGGTGGCCGCACCTCCTCCGGCGCGGGGCGGAGACTGGAGAGAGCCGGCCGGCCGCAGACAGGGCGGGATCAATACCGGACCGACACCAGCGCGGCCCCGCACTGACCGGCCCACCGCGCCGCGGCGCGACCCGCACTGACGCGCCGCGCCGCCGCCGCAAACGAGCCACCCCGACCGGCCGGCCGGCGCGCCGCCACGTGCCACGTGCTAGCGCGGCCCGCCGCTGACGACGGACGCCGCCCGACTGACGACGGCACGTGGGGGAGCGGCCGGCAGGGGCGGGGCAGCGGGAGAGGTGTCAGGGGAGGGGCGGGGCAGCGGGGAGACATCAGACAGAGGGGTGGGGGAGAGGGGCGGGAAAGGCGGTGAGCCAGACCAGAATACCCGTTTGAGCACTGACCTCATCGCGGTCACGATCATCGGCCGTGATCTGGAGGCCGGACGGGGGCAGCCGGCGGCGTTCTGCAGTCTGGCAGGGGACCAGCCGGCCAGCCACTCACGGGAACGCCCCGGCTGGCCGCCGGAGCCGGTCTCAGGAGCAGGAGAGGCGCCGGAGCCAGGCCGGTCGGCTGGGAGCACAGGGACGGACCGAGACGATCAGTGGATAGGAATGGTCAGTTCGCAGTCGCATTCCAGACCGACAGTGTCCCCACCCCCTAAAAATAAAAAAAAAACACCTCGGTTCTCGGCACACTGACAAAGACACTAAGATTGCAAATTAAATCCTATGGGGATTCCAACGTATGAGAGGCTGAAGGTACCGACAAGTTTTATGTGATGCATTACACCTTTGAGCCAACTGAGCTGAAAATCGCGCGTGCATGATCAAAGCTGATGAAAAATACAAAAAAAAAGAACATTTGGTTCACTAGGATACAAAGGAATAAATACCGCATTTTGTGACAGAGTTAAATGACAATGTATTTTCTACTCGAAACAATAACGATGATTTATTACATAGCTAATACGATGAGACTGAGATGCTTTGAGCAGTGCACACTTCATCAACTCAGTGACGATGCATGATGATCTTCGATGACGATTAAACACCACTGCCCTTTGCATACAACGTGAAACGTGGTGCTCGCATAAGACACTGACTCACAATAACACGTTACGAGAACGTCAATTCAAACCAAAACCCAACGCACCAGTGCCTACCTTCAACGTTCAGCAGCAGACACCGCACGGCACACCGAATACCGCATACTACACAGCATCGCTCGCGCGACACCACTGTCCAGAAAACCTCCCCAGTCCCTCTCCCCTCGCCTCGCCTTCCGCTCAGGTGGCCGCGTACTTCACCTCGTCGAACGCCTTTCTCGCCTTCTTGAGCTCCTCGTTCATGGAGAGCAGGTCGCGCACGCGGGCGTACTTGCGCGGGTCCTTGCGCACAAGGTACATGATGTCCTCGACCTGGACGCGTCCGTTGCGCCCCACCTCCATGGCGCGCTGCGTCATCTGCGTGATGAACTCGATCACCAGGTCCTCCAGCAGGTCGACACTCTCCGTGTACGGGTTCCGGTCGTCGCCGAAGCCGTACATCATGCAGCGCAGCTCCTTGCTGAAGAGTCGCCGGCGCCCGGAGCCGCCGGCCAGCTGACTGGCGTCCTCCTCGTCATCAAACTGGTCCTCATCGGCAGCGGGGGCGGCAGCGGGGGCGGCGGCGGCGGCAGTGGTGGTCGGGGTGGGTGGCGTGGAGGAGGCCATCTGCGACACTGTGGTGAGAGGGAGAGTGGTATCAGAGGGGCGAAGGAGTGGGGAAGGGAGGAGAGAGAGAGAGAGAGAGAGAGAGAGAGAGAGAGAGAGAGAGAGAGAGAGAGAGAGAGAGAGAGAGAGAGAGAGAGAGAGAGAGAGAGAGAGAGAGAGAGAGAAAATGAATGCAATAAGCTTAACCCGCGCCGTGCTGGTGGGCTGAGTTTTCCGTGTCGTTCTGGGGGGGGGGGGGGGGGGGCATTTTAACCCTCGCCCGTATACTCGTAGGAAGTCGAACGTGCCCCTCCCTTGTTTTTTTTTTCGCGAATAACTCGCGTAAAAAAGCGGACGATCGTGACGAGACTTTCAGTACCCTGGCGTTAATCAATTTTACACCTACCCTGAAAATTTTATGACCCTGACCCAAATGACCTTTGACCTTCTTGTTTGGCAGATATCGCGATTCGGCGTATGTCGGCTCGCATTAGCAGCGCGTTTGCAGTCTTTTCGTGGTTCCAAGCGTTCAAACATGTGATATGATGTTGGTCCCAAGCATTATGGGTGGGTGTCAAGGTCGCCTGAAGGTCAGGTCAGGTCATTGACCTTTGATGACCTCGGTTCACTTTTTCGAGTTTTACATGTTTCCCAAAAGACTCCATTTTTGGGTGTTTGATCTGACCTGGAAGGTCAACCAATGACCTAGGACCTTAAAATTGGGTATCATCGGCTTCCTCTCGTCACGGGTAACAAGCTGTTTTTTTTTTCGCGAAGCTCTACCTCAATCAGGGGCCAAACGGCAAGAGGGGTCCAACGGACCCCCCCCCCCCCTTATACGTTCGCGGCTGGCAAAACACGAACATGGGCGAGGGTTAACGGCAACGCCCCCTTCTAACTCGGCTCATAGGCCACGTAGCGACATGCGGCAAGCAACATTCGAAAGAGCGCAAAAATAATGAAGAAGACGCTTCGGTCATTTTTTAGGTCAGGTCAAAGGTCAAAGGTCATCAAATGTCAAATTTGGCCTTTTTCAATAATTTTCGAAAAACCGGCGCATAACTCAAGAACCGTTTTAACAGTTATTACCAAACCTTCTAACCGTTTTTCATAATAATTTCAATAAAATATTTTAACCGTTTTTAACCAAAATAGTACGCAAACAGATTGGTCCATTGACTGACATGTTGTCCCCACCCACCCATCGGGCCAACCCGAGACCGGTCCCAAGCAGCGGGGCCGGTCGGCTGGCCGGCCGGGCGAGGGGCCCGCCTATACGATGGGCTGACCTCCCGTTCGGCCGGCCGACCGCCGCGCCGGGGCGCCGTCCACGCGTGATGATCACGGTACGCGGGACGGCGCGGGTGGGGGCGGGCCGCCCGCCTGGAGCGCCGGGGAGGTAACCCACAGCTCTCCCCGGCAGCTCTCCTTGAGCTGAGACAAGCACAAATCAGGAGCTTTTACGGCCCAGCGATCACCCTAGGCAAAGATATTCCATTTCTCTTTGTCTTGTCCCAAAAAAAGGCACCTTGCTGAGGAATGTGTGCCTTGCAGGGGTCATTTCCCTCTTTTAAAACTGAATAGTTCTTCCTATATTAAAATATAGAAAATATTATTTTTAATAAGCTAGGTTTTACTTTCTTTGCTGATCATTTTTAGCAGAAAGAATTATAAAATCATTGCAAAAAACTAATTTCATGAAAGTGAGCGATTGCCTTTAAAAGAATCAATCTTGAGGGTGTCCTGCTGGCAGACTTCAAAAGGTACAGGTCTCGCGGGTTTTAGCGGAAGGTTTGGCACCTATAAAATTTAGTGTTCTCCAGGCTATATCTTCGTAGTCTTAGCTTTCAAGTGTTGAAGATGCGATCGGCTTATTGGCCCGCAATATTTATATAACCTAACAGGTATACCTATACCTATACCTATAAGACACATCCCGGATCAGAGTGTTATATGTCTCATCATTAGGTCATGGATGAAGCAGTGCATTGTATTAATCCATGTATTAAGTACCTATTAATCCATGATCTTATTGAGGATCATGGATAAGAAATGCCTAAGCCATGAATCATGATCATGTTGATGTGTAATGGATGGCAAGATCAAGATGCACCTCAACCTAAGCAGCATAGAAATAAATAGATGAATGCTATTACATACCTTTGTTGCCGAATACTCCTGTGGTGTAAATGGATCAAATTTGGTTCAAATACATCTCTCAGTACCTTGACCTAGCCATATATCTTGCAGCATTTGGCTGGTAAATATTTGTAAGAATCTTGGGTAAATAAACAAAAGTTTGGCCAAGGTCGTTTATTGATTTGATGCTTTAAAATTGTCTAAAAAGTACCCTGATTATTTGACGTCACAAATGTAACATTTTTACACAATGAAAACACAACTTTGAACGAGCTTGCAAGCATAGCCTTGGAACTTGGCATCAACCAATTCATGAAAAGCGATCTTCTTATATCATAAAACAAAGAAATACAAATTCGTGCCCCTTAAGAATTATCTTTTCATTTGTTCAAAATGATTTTCACAATTCAGTGACGTCATTGCGTATGAGCAACGTGGCGCAGAGGACGGATATTTTTCGCCACCATATGGTATCCACCATATTATAGGGCCTTGCGCATATTTACGTCTGGACAACGAGTTGCGTTGGAGAGTCCGGAAATAGTGGCGATTTCAGGACCGCAAGAATGGACCGTCATTGGAATGACTCTTTTTTAAACCGTGCACTGTTTTCGGCCGAAATTTAATAGTTACTACAAAATATTTTGTTATTACGTTTCCCTAAGAATGAATGCCATCAGGGCTAAATTTTTAATACTATTGCATTTTGTCAAGGAGCATATAGTGCTGTTATATTGCAGTTTTAGCGCGTTTGTTACAAAATATGAAGCGAATAAGCGTCAGTGTAATTCATCAACAGTGGCAGAAGTTAACTTGAATGCTAATTGCTCTTGTCCATCCACTAAAATTTATTAAATATTTTGCTTTGTGTATTCCAAAAGGAGAGGAAACTATTTCATTTGTGCCTTCATGTCAGAATTGAAGGTGGATCATTAAATTTTCAACGCAGTTTACAAACAAGCGTTTGGTCTTTCTCGTTTATAAGAAGTGGCTAAGAAAAGGTTGATCAATCCTGAAGTTCAGTCATCGTACCTCAACTTGGCAGCAAGATCCCCAAGGACAGAGGATATATTGTATACATGTCCTGCTCCTGTAAATCAAAACAAACAAGCATTTGGTCTTTCTCGTATATAAGCAGTGGCTAAGAAAAGGTTGATCAATCCTGAAGTTCAGTCATCATACCTCAACTTGGCAGCAAGATCCCCCAAGGACAGAGGATATATTGTAAACCTGTCCTGTTAATCAAAACATTTTTGTGCCTTCAAAGGCTTAAGTTATCTGTGGTGTGTTCGGAGTTAGGCTATATGGCCGTTTTTGTTGTATGTTTATGTGGAGATTGAATATATAACTGTGACCCTGTGCTTGTTTGTATACTTACGGTCAAACAGGGAACAGCACATTCACATAACATACTCACCTAGCACCTAACTCATAGCTGTACCCTGCAGGATCTGTACTTGTTCATGTCTCGAGCATTAACAAAGCACCAAAGTAGCTTAGTAATCATTTCCCACATTTTCTGAGCATCTAACATGACATACAGCAGTGCAGAGCAGCTTCAGAGAAGAAGCACTTTAAATGCACAGACTCACACCACCAGCCACCCAATGAGCCAGTTCCTCAGTTGACTGTTTCCCTGGACACAGCTTGGCAATGTGAGCTAACTTTTGGCAAGTTGAAGGTTAGCAGGTAAGACTGAGTTAGGGTGAGTACCTACCTATAACTGGGTGCTACTGCCATGCAGGTCTTGGGTAGGCTGCAAATATGTGTGATGATTGAGGTTAGGTCAGCTGTCAGGTTAGTCAGGTTCAGGTATGCTCATTGCTCAGGTCACATTTTATGGACATTTGGCAAATTAAAAAACTAACAATCTGATCTAAGCTAACCCGACTAAACATACACAACTACTGACTATAGGAACTGAGCACCTACCTACTTGTGCCTACATCTCATACCATGTCAAAGTAGAGTTCCTTGGTGGAAGATTACCCTCAGTACTTTTTATCCCAGCCCTGTGAAGAAAACTAATACTTCTAAGCTCTGAGTCACTGCTGGCCATCCACAGGAAGAAACGCTGAGACTGAGAGCTTTGCCATTGTATATTGGACCAATAATGACTATCACGAATGACTATGAACACATAATATGATCACATCGTTGCATGGATTGTCACATTGACAATTTTACTACAATCCTTTTTTCAAGAAATACAGTGATGATGATTAACATCAAAATCAACATAAAGTGGATTTAGTGATCCAAGCTTTCTCCTCCAGTAGCAAATGGAATGATCGCATGTTTCATTTGCCAGACACTGAGTACCTGATGCACATTACAATCTGCATAGCATCTAAGCATAGTAAAACTGCCCAAGTCCATTCATTCTAGATTTTAACTTGATAGTTAGCACTAATTTATCTTGCTGAGCTGTTGTAAGTTATCATTCAATATTCATACCAATACATCAATATGCGCTCATCAGTCAACATTTTCTGGCATGATCCTGCTCAGTGTGCTCTTCAGTATTGCTCCAAGGTCTGCAATATTATAGCTTGTTTTTGGACAATAAGCTCTTTTAATTTTACTTTTTCTTGCTGATATATGAGCCCGATCAACTTGCGTTTATCAACCAAAATTTCATAACTTGTTCAACTTGATATTGATATTGCTCAGTAGTCAGGACCTCCGTCAGCCTCCTGGATACTTCAGATTGTTTCCAGTCAACATGCTTCCTAAATATGATATAAGTCAATCTTAAGGGATTCAAAACATCCAACAAAACGACGTACAAGAGCAAGAAAACCACCAGATAAACTAAAAAATGGCCTTGGAACAGAGCCAAGTGGTGCTCCATTTGTTTGTTTACAATGATTGTAGTGCTGATGTATTGTTAGGACTCTGAACGCCGGCTTATAAAAAATGAAACGTTTTTACAAAAGTTGTAAGGCAAGTAATATTTATCTGAAAGAACTAAAATATTCAAAAGCCAAACACTATGAAATACATGAAACGGAACGAAAAAGTAACCCAAAAATCCAGCCTAATCACCGGCTCCTAAAACTGCAACACAATCAGCACTTTTCCCCGCAACTCGTTGTCCAGACGTAAATATGCGGGCCTTGCACCATATGGTTTATATAGCCTTGATGGTAGGCAAGATGGTAGGGCAAGGCCATATATACCAGGTAGGGTCGTCCGGCGATTCTACCTTTTCGTGACGTCAGCTCGTGACGTCATTTGGAGTCAAGTCTCGAAGCCCCGTTCAATCCCCATGTAAATGAGCGATTTTCGAAGCACTGTAGAATGGAGTCTGCACAAGATATATCAAACCTAAGTATCTTATCTGAAAGAGCAGACAATTTTCTGCAAGTTATCTATTACGTGTTTTTCGCTAAATCTTTTGCTTTTTTCACAAAAGCGTAAAATGTCCCCCCATGTCTCCGCAGCCTCCCTGCCGCCGGCCGCCGCGCGGTCGCGGTAGTGTAGTGGTTAGCGTGCCCGCGCAGTATTCCTAAGGTCCCGAGTTCGAATCTATGCGGTGCGGAACTTTAATTGCAATTCCAAGCTGAATATACGCACATCCATAATAAATTATTATTCGTATAGCTAAACTGTCACCAAGCTATCCATATAAATTGACTTCACCCAAAATATCGGCAACATTCTATTAAAATATAAATTCAAATATGGCGGCTTGGACTGCCGCGTGCGTTAGGCTCCGCCCATAGCTCCGCCCACATGCGTGACGTCATTCGTGTTAGTGGACACGCAGAGAGATAGGGGACGACATGGGCCTGGTAGGGTAGAGTGGGGCGCAAAGGGCCCAGGGCGGGTCAAACGCCCACCCCTCTTTTTTATGAAGTGCTCGACTTTTCGAAGAATTCTCGATAGCCATTTTCAAGAACGAGCAGGAATCTACTTTTGCCCCCTTTTTCGGATCTACAAGTGGGTTGTTCTGGACGTAAGATAAAGATTAGTTTATTTCAGACAATTTTTAGATATTACATGTTTTCATACTACTAAAACTTTGTCTGACAGAGATTAAAGTAGGCAATGAAATTTAGCTACGCAGAACCTGCGGATTTAAAGGGACCCTCCCACCTTCAAAAAAGTTAATGAATTGGCATAAAAGTGATGTAGCGTGAATCACAAAGAGCGAAAATGAACATCTACCAAATTTTACCGGAAAATATTCACCCGTTTTCGAGATATAAGACTTTAATTTTTGTTTACTTTTTGGGAAATCCGCTGTTTCTATGACGTCACATAAAGGTTTTCTTTACGTCGGCATTTGGAAGCAATAGTTTGGCATCAAAGTGCGACAAATATTGCGCGAATGATGCGTTTATCTTATCAAGGTCAATACATATATGATGGCCAATAAAGGATTCCAGGACAATTCTTATGGCATTTCTTCGTATCGCAATTCTTCGTCTGCAAATCTTCGTCAGGGCATTTATTCGTACCTATCGCATTTCTTTGTCTCGCACCAGGGTATATGAAAATCGGCTCGCATTTCTTCTTCAACGCAAATATATGCAAGAGTAAGCATTGAGGGACAAATAAATGCACCGACGAAGATTTGTAGACGAAGAAATGCGGACGAAAAATTGTGCTACGAAGAAATGTCATGCGAGGATTCGTTCGGGTACCAAGACATTTATGTGATTTCAAAGTCAAGGTTCACAGCTGATCTGCTAAATCAAGCCAAGAATCCAAACTATCAAACAACTATAAATATTTGTTTGTCTGTCACAGAGGTCTCAAGCAATATAAGGTTGACATATGTTGAATCAAAAATCTACTGCCACAACTCACATCTCCTGCCTTAGTTTATCATTGTTGTTTTAACTTGCTTTCAAGAGAAACAGAAGCCAGTATCTGATATCACTTCAGATGATTGTTTCAAGATCTGAGTTCAAATGGAAATAAAAGCAAGATCAAGATGAAACAGGGATTATTGCTGTTAAAGTAGTTTGGCCATGATACAACAAGCACATAAATCATTAGCCAAATCAAATACTGGTTGGTTTGTCAAGATGTTTGTTGTCTGTCGTCTGTCGAGCTGCTATGAACACTGAACGCTCTCACTCTTACTTTAAAGAGAGTAGTTTAAGTTGAATGGTAGTGAGCTGTAATTAGACAGAGCAGCTATTCAGTGCTCACATCAAGCCAGGCTAGGAAATGGCATCAACTGTGGTGGGAGGAAGCAGGTTCGGCAGCCCTATGTTGTAAACTTCTGTTATGTCTTGTGTTTGATCAACTGATGTTTTCTGCTCTGTTTTGTGCAGTGATAGTAGCAGGTAACTGCATGCTTGTCAAATTATGTGAATAAACGAATTCATAACATTGCATTTTTCTCTCCATGCAAGGAACAAGTAAGATGTTGTAGAAAATGTAATAGAGGGCTGCATTGCTGATTTTGCACTTTAGGTTTAGGTTTAGGTTTAATCGGATGGGCTGATGTAGACTGGGTGTCTATTCGGTGCCCACGTCAGGTATAAGGTAGGTATACTGGACTGATTGGATCTAGGGTATAGCCGTTTGCGCCATGAATTGGTCAAGCCGGTTCTTGAAAGTGTTAGTGCTGTTTGCCAGTACAACATCTTCTGGTAGTTTGTTCCAGTCATGGATTATACGATTTGAGAAGAACTTTGCTCTTGTAACAGTTTTCGATCTTTTGACTTTCAGCTTCTTGCTGTGGCCTCTTGTTTGGCAGTCATTGTTCATGGTGAAGAATTGCATTGGGTTTACATTGATGTGTCCTGAAAGCAGCTTGAATGTCTCTATAAAGTCTCCTCGCCTCACTCTATCTTCGACACTTGGCAAATCCAGTCTTCTCAGTCTCTCCTTGTAGGTCAAGTTCTTCAGTCCCTGTACTAGCTTGGTAGCTCTTCGCTGTACCTTCTCCAATGCCATGAAGTCTTGTACCATATGCGGACCGACTGCCTGAATACAGTGTTCTAGGTGAGGACGTATATATATAGTGTACAAAGTTTTGAAGTTTGTTGTAGTCAGGGTGTCAAAGGTCATTTTAAGAAGTTTCAGTGCTGACATGGCTTTGTTACTGGCCTTCAGGCAGTGGTAGGTAGGCTTCAGCGAGCTAGACACCCAAACTCCCAGGTCTTTCTCCACATCTGTTTCAATAAGCTCCAATGCATCTCCATTTGGTTGTTTCAGATGATACCTTTCTCTGGGATTTCTGGTGCCAAAATGCATTACTTTACATTTCATCGCATTGAACTGTAAGAGCCACTTCTCGGACCAGCAGGCCAGTGTGTCCAGGTCAGATTGGAGCACTTCTGCATCTTTCTTGCTTGACACCAGTCGATACAGCTTTGTGTCATCAGCATATAGTTTCATTGTGCTGCGGACAAGTCTTGGCAGTTCATTGACGAACAGTATAAACAATACTGGGCCTAAAACCGATCCCTGTGGCACTCCACTGCTGACATTGATGCTGTCCGACAGCTTCCCGTTTACTGACACCCGTTGTGTTCTGTTTCTCAAGAACTCAGAGATCCACTTTAGTATGTTTCCCCTGATTCCATATCCATGTAGTTTTGCCTTCAGTCTCTCATGCGGTACTGTGTCAAAGGCCTTGCGATAATCTAAGTAGATCACATCAACACCGTTTCCTTCATCAATCAAACTTGTCCAGTCTTCAAATGTCTCCATTAAGTTTGATTGACAGGACCTTTTTCTGACAAATCCATGTTGGTGATCAGATATGATGTGGTTGGATTCCATGTGCTCTGTAATATTCCTTCTGATCAATCTCTCTAGTAGTTTACATACTTGGCTTGTTAGACTGACGGGTCTAAAGTTTCCTGGTTTCTTCTTACTTCCACCTTTAAATATTGGAATCACTGTGGCTTCCTTCCATACTTTTGGTATCATGCCTGCTTCCAGTGACTTATTAAACAGTGAGGAAAGAGGCTGGGCCAGGGCCTCAGCACAGGACTTCAGCACTATTGAAGGGATCCCATCAGGCCCTTTTACTTTATCAGAGCTTTATTTAGAATTGCTTTCCTGAAAGCTACACACAGGCCACAGTGCTGAAATTCACAATGTCATAGCTTTTGGCAGAAAAAAAAGAAAAGACTTACCTAGGTAAAATTGGCTGAAAGTATGGCAGAGCAGGTCTTGATGGCTGATGCGTATGCCCATCCGTGTGCTTGCCGAAGCCGAACTGACTGCAACACATTTAACTCTGACCCACCATGGTGGCTGGCATATCCTGAACTTTCACCACTCTAAACAAGACAACTTTCAGCCCTCAGCATTGTATTAGAACACTGTACAAAACACTCAAAATTTGTTTCAGTGCCATCCACGGACAACATCAGTCGCCATTCACCAGGCCAGTAAAAACAGAATAGATAATAGCTTCAAACCCATGTAGTCAGAGTTACTAGGTCTGCACCTCAAAACAAAATCCAGGTGACATTCACCACGCCAGTAAAAAACAGGTACTTAGGTAACGTAACAGCTTCAAATCTGGTAACATGTTGGTCAGACTTTACACTACCATATTTACATGGAATAATATGATACCAAACAATAGTGCAACCATTCTGGACAACAAAAGTGTATGATAAAATTAATTCAGAAAACTCTGGCAGCATGATTTACGAGCACAGGCAGGTGTTACCTACCAGCCTTCTCAATGCTCGTAAAACCAACATTGTAGTTTTGATTTTACCTTACATGATAACACACTTGGCTGCAATGGCACATTTAATTTAATACTGTGAAAAGACCAGTTATAACCACTTCACAAGCACAATTGCACCTCATGCCGACATCCTTTTCCAAAGACAGTCAGCAGCGTCTTTCGTCAAAACTGGAAGATAAATCCCCTTTCAACTGTTAACATCAAAAATATTTCTTCATGGTGTGACTGTGATCTCCATATGGAAACCTTGCAGGAAAAGAATTAATGTCAATTGTCAGCTCTTCAAATTTCTTTGGACTTTAACTTGCAGTACCATATCCAGTTTGCTTTGATATTTTGTTTTTTATTCCATGTTGAAGTTGAACACCAAGCTCCAGATATAGCAGGCAGCTTGATCATCTTCGGCCTTGGTATACTATCAGTCCAAGTTCCAGTGGTGGGTATCTTCTAATATTCAAATTAAAATGAAAAGCAATAGGCTTTCTCAGCGCCGACGACGGATTTCACGTTGATAAAAAAGGGAGCTCAAGGTCAGCAAAACTCGGGTTCAAGGAATGGCGGGCGTTGAAATGACTGCTGACGTCATCAAAAAACCGCTAATGGTTAAGAGATAGGAGGGCTGTTCACGGGCCCTGTGTGCGGTCGGACCGCACACAGCCTCGAAGCTCCGCCCACTGCGTCCCTACGTCAGCCTTCCGTCACCGCACACAGCGATCGCTGTGGCCGGTCGGGACTGGCCACAGCGGACCGTCCAGGGGTGTTCACGGGCACCGCACACTGCTGCGTGCGGTGTGTGCGGTACGTCCAGCAGGCGTGGGGGTAGGGGATGGGTAGGCGGCTCTGACGTCACGGCTGCGTGCGGTGGACGGTCCGCTGTGGCCAGTCCCGACCGGCCACAGCGATCGCTGTGTGCGGTGACGGAAGGCTGACGTAGGGACGCAGTGGGCGGAGTTTGGAGGCTGTGTGCGGTCCGACCGCACACAGGGCCCGTGAACAGCCCTCGATAAATGGTGGTTTCTGAGCCTGGCCGCAAACTTGGCTATCTCAACTCAAAACTAATGTTAAGGTGGGATGGTCCCTTTAAGCTACGTTTTGAGCATTTACTGGTTTGCAACACAATCGTCACACGCTTAATTTTGGTGGACTTCGTTTTGAATGTGCTGTTGGGGTAATACGCCCACTTTGGTGTGGGACAAAACGCCCATCATGGGCGTTTTACCCCTAATGGGAGTTATACAGTACGGGTATTTGCGAACATTTTTGGCTGAAAGTGAGTGTCGGGATACGTTTCTACTGCTCAGGATTCTTATGAAATATGCAATATACTGGTTATTATCGCCTGGAACAATTTATTCGCACGAACTAATCTCCGCTCTTTAAGGCGGTGACAGCCCGTTGACTGAATGAGGAGTGGGGTGGTAACAACAGTGTTCAAGATGTGTTTGGTGGTGTAATCTATTGATTTAAAGTCAAACGAAATGAGAATGGATAAATACTGCATTCTTTTGTCAGAGTACCGAGCGTGTAATGAAACGTTCAGGACTGGGCGTTATGCCCCACTCATATGAGCGTTATGCCCCATGGGTGGGGCAAAACGCCCGATTTGTAGTCCTCTCAATTTGGATGGCATATCTCAAAAACCATGCATGCCACTTGTTTCTGATGTGTTATTCGAAGAAAGCCAAGGTAATGAGCTACCAGATCAGCTACCTAGTTGTCTTTCAAATTTGTAAGATAAAGAGATACTGGGGCTGGAAAGTTAGGGTGGGCGCTTTGCCCCACTCTACCCTATCTATCACCGTGGTATTTATAGTCACCGTGGTATCTATATGGCCAGTTCTCTATATACCGTGTATATGGCCTTGGGTTTAAAGAAGAGATAGATAGAGGGTTATATTCAATTGGTATATTTCTATTTGGTAGTTCACTGCAAGGCCCTACTAATACCATATATTCTTCACTGGTAAGTAGCTAACCCATCCTATGACACTGATACTGATACTGATTATATACTGATACATATACTGATTTGATGAGCCCAAATCAGTAACAGTTACCATTACGGGTTGAGGAATGAGGTGTCAGTTTCCAGCACCTTATCTTTTTTTTCTGTGTGAACTGTTTTGCCATCCTGATACAAATTGCATTGATTTTTTGTGCAAGCCTGCAACTGTAGCTCAGTTAGTAGAGCATTGGACTTCCGCTACAAGGGCCCCGTTTCACCGCACAGTGCTACAGCATGCTGTGTAGCGTAGTAAACTAGCGTCATGCTGTTGAACAGGGCAGAGGAGTCCCGGGAGTGAGAGCTCAGTTGTGACTTGAGTCCCTCTGAAGTCTGATGCTCTACATTATTATACCCATGATGGGGATTTTCTGGCTGGTGGTAGCAGCCACAGCCAGTTGAATTCAGTAGACTGGAACAGGCTGTGTCTGTCCGAGCAGACCGAGCTTTGATGTACATGTTTAGCTTTGGTAATTGGTATCTAAATTTTTCAGTTACCACAAAGTGCACAATAGAATGGTGGGTTTGGTGCTTATGCAATGAACTGTGATGAAGCTTAGCACATTTCTGGCCCTAAATTTGTCTATTCAATCATTTGAATTAAATCTATAAAGAAGTTCAAGTTATAGTAGGCTTGAGATAGCAAGTATTGCAAGGGACAGTTTGTGCATGAGTATGCTTATTGAATTGCTGTATATTTATATCCAGTGTCACTGGTTTTGTGTTTTAGAGACAGCCTTGGTATGGGCCGTATTGATGAGCTTGGTTTTGTAGATGAATATTTGTTTAAGCCATTAATTTGATGCCATTCTATGTGTTGTTTCTTTTCAGCTGTAGACCAACTTAAGTTTTGTAAGATGGCTTCAAAGAAGAAAGAAGGCTCAAATGCAGCCTTAACAGGCCTCTATGCTGAACTTAACACCTTGGGACAAGCAGATGAATATGAGAAGATTATCAAAATCTCCAATAAAAGTAAGTTTCAATGATTAGATGTTGAATGATAGCTACTCATTTTCCAGGGTTAAAGAAAAACATATGCTTGCCTAATTTATTAGTTTTTAATCACATTTCTCTAAACTTGTACATTATGTTTTTGCAGCCCTACTCCATTTTTCAGTATAATTCTGTTTAATCCAAATTATATGATTGCATTCAAAATTATCAACATCTGAGAAGCTCTGATACCTAGATCCCTCACAATCTAACCATTTTGTTTACAGTCCTCTCAATGGACAAGACTGCTCTGAAGGCTCTGCAATATAAGATCATCAGTCTAATCAACCTGGGCAGATTTGATGAAGCTCTGAAACAGATGAGCAACAGCGCCAAACTTGCAAGGTAAGAAACTTCGTGATATTGGATGACTGAGTTTCATTTATTTTGAAATAGTTGTCAGTAAAGGGTTATTTTACTGTTTTCCATGGGTGTGGAAATATGTGGTCCATGGATGTGATTGTATGCATTGTATGTTTTCCTGTCACCCCACAGCTCCCTGCACTTTGAGAAGGCCTACTGCCTGTACCGCCTGAACCAGAACCAGGAGGCCCTGGAGGCCATCAGCCAGGCGCCCGAGCAGACACTCCAGCTTAAGGAGCTCAAGGCGCAGCTCTTCTACAAACTGGACAGGTGGGTCACAGGCGACCTCGGGTAGGGGAATAGACTAGCTATCTACATGTACGTGTGGGTGTTGTGTAATCGAGTATTTGGGACTCCCCGTTTGCCAGTCGATGTCTGACACTCGCTGTTAGCCGGTCGAATTGGGATGCTCCGTTTGCCGGTCGGTTCTGAGACTCGCCGTTGGTTGTTCGACGCCTTTGACCCGCCGGTCGCCGCTCAGTGTCTGGAGACTCGCCGTTTAACGGTCGATATCTGAGACTCGCCGTTTCTTTTCTTTTTGGTCGATGCGTGAGACTTGCAGTTTATCTGTCAGTATTTGAGGCCAGCTGTCAATGTCGATCTCGTCATTCTCGTCCATCTCGAGCAGTCGATCTCGTAAGACTCGTCGTTTACTGGTTGATATTTGAAACTCGCCGTTACCTAGTCGATGTCATAAGACTCACCCTTTACAGTAATGTATGGAGGTTCACCATGTTCCTGTCCATGTGGTATGCTCCGTTTTTCGTCTTGAGCCCCGCCGTTTTCCGGTCCATGTCTGATGCTCCGTATCCGTTCTCAGGTTCCAGGAGTCGCACCAGACCTACCGCGAGGTCATCAAAAACACGGACGACGACTTTAACGACGAGCGAATGGCCAACCTGGCCGCCGTGCTGGCGCAGCTGGGCATGACCAACCAGGTACGACTGGACTGACTGGTCGGAGAGGAGGGGAGGAGACGAGGGAGTGCGATTGGGGAACGGGACAGACGCCGTAATGTGACAATGAGGGGACATTTTGATAAAAGAGGAAGAATTAATGAGATATAACGGGAGATATAACGGGAGAGTATGCTGTGCTGAAGGTAACTGAATGAAGGCGATTATACGAGTAGCGGGAGGGTACGATCACTACACTACGGTGTGAATGATATAACGGGAGAGTACCCCAAGACTACGCCCGATGCATGCCTATCTGTCTCGCACTTCCCTGCTATCTGCGCGCCTTTGACGCGTGCTGCCCCCTCTGACTGTCGGTTCCCTTTCAGCCGGTGCCGGACGCCAGTGACCTGGGCGACTCCACATACGAGCTGGTGTACAACGCGGCGTGCCGTCTGCTGGCGGCCGGCCGGTACCAGGCGGCCGAGCGGCAGCTGGCGCGCGCTGCCGACCTCTGCCGGCACACGCTGCGCGAGGACGGCGCCGACGACGACGAGGTGGACCAGGAGACGGCCGTCATCGACGTGCAGCGCGCCTACTGCCTGCAGCGGCTCGGCCGGCCCGCCGACGCCGCCCTCCTCTACCACGAGACGCTCAAGAAGCGGCCGTCCGACGGCGCCGTGCTCGCCGTGGCCGCCAACAACATCGTCTGCATCAACGGCGACCAGAACGTGTTCGACTCCAAGAAGCGGATGCGGGCGGTGACGGCCGAGGGCGCCGAGGCCAAGCTGGCCGGCCACCAGCGCCGGGTGATGGCCGTCAACCAGTGTCTGTTCAGCCTGCTCACCCACCAGGGCGAGGCGCTGCAGAAGCAGCTCTCCCAGCTCACCGAGCGCTACCCGCAGGAGGCAGTGACGGCCGCGCTGATCCGCGCCTCGGCCGCCGCCCGCAAGAGCCCGGACGAGGCGGCGCGCCTGCTGTCCGAGCTGCGCACCGACTCGCCGCAGCAGCAGCTGCTCGTGCAGCTGGCGCAGGTGCAGCTGCTGGTGGGCCGCGGCCAGCTGCTGGAGGCCAGCCGGCAGCTGGGCGCGCTCGGCGACCTCAGCCGCCGGCCGGGCGTCGTGTCGACGCGCGTGGCGCTGTGCGTGCGCGCCGGTAGCCAGGAGGCGGCCGCCCAGCTGCTCCAGGAGGCGGTCAGGCAGCAGGCGCAGGCCGGCGCGCGCGGCGACGCCAGCCAGCTGTGGCGCCAGTCGGCCGACTTCAGTCTGCGCTGCGGCGACCCGCGCGCCGCCGCCGCCAGCCTGGAGGAGCTGCGCCGCGCCCAGCCGGGCGACGTGCGCACCGTGGCGCAGCTGGTGACCGCCTACAGTCAGTTCGACCCGGCGGCGGCGCGGCGCGTCTCTGCCGAACTGCCCCCGCCGCAGCTCGGCACCGGCCTGGACGTGGACGCCCTGGAGAGCACCTCGTGGTCGGCGGGCGGCCGGCCGCGCCGCAAGGACGGCCTGCCCAGTCCCGGATCACCCAGGTAAAAACGGCCTGCCGAGTCCCTGATCACTCAGATTACCGAATGCTGGCGACCGTCTGAACCTAACCCTCTGGAATTATGACTAGGAGCACATTTCTGCTGGCAATGTGTTATGCCTATTTTGGTGCTGTTAAGCTAATGATAGCGAATTAAAGTACACCTAATTACGTGCCTAACCAATCACCTAATGGATTGCTGTCATCGTCGAGCCTGACATCACATTGACGTTGCCGACCCCCGGCTGTGTTCCAGCTCGCCGGATACGCCCGGTGACGCGCTGATCCAGAGCCAGAACAAGAAGCGCAAGAAGAAGAAGCCCAAGCTGCCCAAGAACTACAACCCCAAGGTGAAGCCGGACCCGGAGCGTTGGCTGCCGCGCCGCGAGCGATCCACCTTCAAACAGCGCAAGAGGCGGCGCAACGAGCCCATGAAGGGCACCCAGGGCGGCCCGTCGGCGCAGAGCGACCTCTAGTGAGTACCGGCCTTACATCACTAACGGAAAGTAGCCTAGGGTGACCCCTCGTGAATGAAAGCCGCAATTATTAATGAAGGGATTCAGGGCAACCTCCAGTATCACCCGTAAATAACCAATGACGGGTACCCAGGCTGGTCTCTAGCGGCGGCGGCGGCGGCTGGGACCAGTGGTGCCGGATGGGATGGGAGGGGTGGCGCTGACACGCCTGATACTGGGAGTCGCCAGTCTAGCACGGCCAGTGGAGGCAGTTTCATGTTGTTAGCACATCGTGCTATGTTGCTTTTGGTCGTCCTAATCTCACGAGAGCATAAAGATGCGTTCGGACGTGCCGTTTTTCGCGTGGAATTTCCACGCCGAGGAATTCCTCACGAAAACGGCCGTTTGGGCAGACCCGTTTCGCGGGATCCCGCGGGATTCCTCACTTTTCGTGATGCCCGAACGACTGTTTTCGTGAGGGATTCCTCAGCGTAGAAATTCCATGCAAAAAAAAAAACGAACGCTGGCTTAATTCGATCAAAATTTGTCTGACGCCAAATCTAGATTTTCTATCGTCATCCTACGACGTTGTCATATTTGTCCTTCCCTCTCAGACCCCACCCCTCTGACCCCGTATGTCCGACCCCACTGACCCCCGTCCCCCCGTCCTTCCCCTCAGCGACATCACCAAGACGGCGGTACAGCAGAAGGCGGCGCCCCTGCCCGACCAGACGGCCGGACCCCGCCAGATGGCCCGAAACGCCCAGAAGAAGAAGAAGCAGAACAAGAAAAAGTGGTGAGCGCAACGCCGTCGCCGCACTGGAAAATGGTCGGTTATCTGTCCTTCCTCTATATTCTATGGATTACATTATGGTGGAAATGATGATTGCTTTTTCATTGGGTTGTGCTCTTGGAACCGTCGGGGAGGATTTTACTGGGTTTGAAGTCTCGGATGGTATTGGTGATATTTGATGAGTCCCGAATTGTGCTGGGATTTCACATGGAAGACACAGAATGAGGATAACAAAGTTGTAGATACAGGACACTAATGACCACGACCACACCCCGCCACATCGATTTCTGTCACTACGTATTATGACACCCGGCATATGGTGCCCGCGCTGCTTCAAACAGGCATTATACCGCCTGTTTATAGGAAGGGAATGACCCGGAGCGGGTAACTCTGTTATTCCCAAATCGCATTCCACATCACTGACGGCGCCAGCTGAGCTCTCGAGGTATCGATCGTTGCACATCTTCTTTTTTAGTTAAACACGTGAGACTCAGGGACGATATCATTATAACCCGGTTCATGGCCGTAAGTTCGTTTGCCTCCACGCCTGCTGTGAGATTTAGGCAAAAACGGTCGTAGCTTTCGAGAATTATGTCAAATTATTGGCTGGAGATTCCTCGTCAGGGCCGCAGCGATAAGCGGACGTGTTGTTCCGGCTCCTCGGGCCTATGACGTCATAAGTGTTCGCAATCGCACACAAAACTGGTATGAAGCTGTTCTCGGAAAAACGACTGTCGACTCATAGCCGAAGAAAGTGTTGGCGCTTATGAGCCCTCACGGCATGTCGGGTTAACGCACCTGTGCCAGAGGTTATTAGGTATGTTGGCGGCTGCCGAACCCTTCCCCGTAAATGTGATGAGTGTTTTTCTCTGACAGTGTTTATCACTTTCATCGGTCGCAGTTGTGGCCAGCGGAGAGTAATCCCGGAGGCCAAAACACAATGTCATACGCACTGAATTATGAAATGTGATATCAGTTTCGTGTCTGAATACTGGGAAGTCCCTTTTTATCCTGGACTCTCTTTATTGATATTTCATTATCATTTCGGAGCTAGATTCACTCAATTTCGCTGCGTTTTGATAACTGTCCTGGAGTATTGTCTCTTTTGTTTGGCAATGTTCCCCAAAGCTAGTCTACTGTGAAGTGCAGCCGTATGTATGTCCTGTGAGGATCGACAGTCCTCACTCTGCTATTGCCTCACACAGCCTTGGGAGGTGCTGAGCTGCGGGCCATTGCCACTGAGATGTCGTCCCATTTGTGGGCAGGGTATGGCCTTCCTGATTATCCGCCACAAGTCGGGATTTTGTGTGTTGATCGCGGCGAGTTTCATTCTTTTCCGCCACTCCGGGGCCCCAGTGGTACAGTGGCCTTCAATTCTCACCGCGCTGCCCGGCGGCCTTCACCCAGGAGTAGCTAAGTGGCTTACTTCAAACCAAAACATTGCGTAGTATTTCCGAAGAAACCGGTTGGGTCAACGAACGATACACTTCAGACACCGGGGGTGTCGCACTTCTGAAAATTGGGACGCCTCTGGCGCATCATTTCTATGTTTGTGGTGCCACTCCTCATTCTTACCACTTGTGTGGGGTGTTTGGACGGCCTCAAGGCCGCAGTGAGACCTGTGAGGGGCTGCAGTGGGGAGCTCTCGTGGCTCTCGGTCGAAGTATCACGGGACTGGAGGCGGTTTTCAAATATCACTTTTCAGAATCACGGTATATTTTCTCTTCCAGAGGGCTGGGCCGTATTTGGACAGATAAAATTCCGTTATACACTCTTACTTACGCTCGTATTTATTTTCTTCCTTGGAAACAGGGTTCGTTCGGCTGCTGCTTGCTATTATCTTTTTGTACATTTTTTACTTGTAAACTGAATAGAACGAGCTACCCTCCAACTTGTGTAGAATAAAACCCTGTAGATGAGAGTAAAACGATTTGTGTTGTAAAAACGATATTTCGAACTACACTCAGTATGGCAGGCACGACTTGTATAACAGGTCAGTTTGTCATTACATGAGTGGCCTAATATGACTCTCCCCATCAGCCTTGGTCGCTGATGAAAGCAGACTCCTTTCCAGCCAGGTCTGACGCCCACGAGCGACATTGGGACGGCATTTATTTTCCACGACATTTATTGTCGCTAAATCCACAGCTGTTACCTTGAATTGTATTCAGCACATCGGTACACAGCAGCGTGAGACAACACTCGGTATAAGTGTCAGCTAAAAACTCAGCACATTTTCCAAAAATGATACAGAAAGGTAACGCAATAATACGATAATCGTTTGCAATATACATGCTCGCGCTATTCACAAAAGAGCAGTCATATAAAAAACTATTCTTACACAAGTATCACATATTTAGGAATGCACAGTGGCTGAACGGTAAGATCGCTCACAGCTCACTGTCAAGATCTCGGCGTGCTAGTGTTTCGTACCGACATTCACAGCTTGTCAGGGAAGCCGCAACTGCCTCGCGAGTCGTATAAAATGAACACAGATCTCGATGACGTGTCGCCATTGAAACAATCTGCATTCTGCAATTATCGCTTCAGACGCAAATATGGTTGAATTGCGCCTGTTAACTTCAAGCGCCACCCACGTCCCTTATGTGGACAATTTTGGCCTGCCTTCTCCGTGGGTGCTATCGCTTGAATCTAGGAAAATAACATTTTTCTCCCTCCGATAGACATGAAGCACGCCCTGTGTAGCCGGTATTGCCGTAAACCAAACACCGAAAGTAATCGAGCTTGCTGGAAACGGTCAGCGTTTAGTCAGCCAACGTTACTTACTAGTTAACAGCTGCAAATAGCTGCATGACACAGTTCAATCAGGTACATAATCATGTAGCGCGTCGGACTCTGCGCTCAACTTCCCTTGCTTGATGTGGTCACAGAAGAGTGACAAACACATTGCAATAGTTCGATGGCACGTGTCTCACTGCCGTGAAGAGCGCCTTAGCGACTAAGGTCCTCCCAGGCAAGGTGTTTGCTGAACACCGATAAATCCTGCCGAACTCGTGATGAGGCCGTTACCATCAGGCCGGCGACTTTTGACGCCTTGACATTCCGTAGAGGGCGGTTTTGGCCGCTCCGCCGGGGCCCCTGGCCTTGTCGACGTCCGACGGGCGCCGTCGTTCATTGGCTCGTCTAATACCCGGTGCTGCGGCGCGGCCGGGGTGCCGGCGCGCCGCTGCGGTCGCCGGAGAGCGGCGTCACCACCCCTCGGCCCCCGCCGGGCCCCCAGCCGTCGCCGCTAGTCGGCGGCCGACTGTTCTCGAAGTGCGCGCACCACCGTGTGCACGTGCCCGATGTAAGCCTTGTACTCGCGCATGAGCACCCAGTTGCGCAGGTCCCTCTCGCGCGTCTCGTCCAGGTCGGGGCCGTCGTGCTCGAGGATGTCGGTGACGCGCGCCGCGTCCGCCTCCAGCTGCTTCTCGAGGAGCGCCAGCTGCAGCTCACACAGCAGCTGCGGGAGGGGCGGGGCAGCGGGTCAGAGGAGGCCCACACAACTGCGGGAGGGCGGGACAGCGGGTCAGAGGAGGCTCACACAGCTGCGGGAGGGGCGGGACAGCGGGTCAGAGGAGGCTCACACAGCTGCGGGAGGGGCGGGACAGCGGGTCAGAGGAGGCTCACACAGCTGAGGGAGGGGCGGGGCAGCGGGTCAGAGGAGGCTCACACAGCTGCGGGAGGGGCGGGGCAGCGGGTCGGACGTGGGCCAGCTGCAGCTCACACAGCAGCTGGCCGAGGTGCAAAGGACGGGTCAGAGGGACTCAGTGGCAGTCTCGGAGACGACGCCAGTAATTGCTGGAGAACGCACAAGCGCTGGGATATGTTTTACCATTTCACGGGGAAATCTCGGAGGGACTGGGCCCGTGGCCAGGATTGCGTCAGGCTCCTCTGTCCCTGACGGGACGGCAATGACTGGAAGGCTTAGCGCCGGATCGCCGGAAAAGGCGCTGCACTCTCCCGGGAATGGTGATGCCGTCTCCGTTAAATGACGCGAGACGTCGTTCAGTGGCCGGGGGATAACACGAACAGCGGAAACCAAAACACGCCAACTTCGCACGGAACAGCACTTACCTACCCTATCATCATTTAGAGGGGTATGCTTCCCCATCCATATTTAGCATCGACCTGTGCAGTTCAGAGCTCAGTTTCGTCCGTGATTGAATGGGAGTTCTCCGAAGGTTTTTTTCTATCATTTCTGTTTCTCTCTCCCCTCTCTCCTTCCTCTCTCCGTCTCTCTCCACCCACCTGCATGAGTCCGGCCTGGACGGCGCGGAACAGCTCCAGGCCGCTGCCGTTGCCGGTGAGCGCCGCCTCCAGCGCAGCTCGCTCCAGACCGACGGCCAGCCGCTGCAGGTCGGCGAACAGGCGCGGCAGCGCGCCGGCCGCCGACAGCGGCGACTGCTGCGCCGCGTGCGCCGCCATCGTCTCCCGAACAAACTCGAGCCAGGTGACGTTGTGCTGGCCCCAGTCGCGCAGCATCTCCGCTTCGTCCTTGGCCGGGTACGTCTGCTCCAGCTGAGAATGGAGGGAGGCGGGGTCAGGGTACGGTCTGCTCCAGCTAGGCGAGGAACTTCGCAACGCCGTCAGCACCAGAGAAATTTTCACAGGGAGATTAAACTAAAAGGACGTAGTATCCTCCAGAGGTCTCACAAGTTGTACATCTCGGATTTTTCTTTTAGGTTACATGAGGTCAGGTCGCCGGTCGGTCACGTGACCTCACAATGGGGAAAAATGAAAACTGCTATTTTGGCGCCGGGAACGATCTCAACTATCCCAAGCACACGGAATCGTGATTTCATGCGCTCCTTGCAAGGGCTTCACGTTTGCATTGTTGACCCTGCGTAATGTCATTTATGACGTCACTAGGGTCATAAGAGTTTTCGTCAATAACTCCCGACCAAATTGAGTTAGCGAGTCAAGAAAGCCTTCAATGGACTCAGGAAGACCTGCCGAATCGAACGATATGCAACATGACCTCCTTTGACCAACTTCGTGACCTGGGGGCTCTGACCTGACCTTGACGTGAGGGCAACACCTGAAGTTGACCTCACCCTAGCAAGAAGTATATCATTCGATGCCCCTGAGCGAGGCGAACACGATGATGCTAAAATCGCGGCTCTCCAGTCGTTTTGCGAAGTTATTTATCAAAAACCTTACCCTGTCCTGGGCCGCTTGACCTGACCTCAGAGGTCACCAGTTGACCTGAGACCTTAAAATCGGGTAACAGTCGCTGCGTCTCGTAACGGCGCACACGCTCTTATTTCCTAAGGCTCTACCTCTCAGTATTCAGGGGCGAAACGAGAAGGGGGAGGTCGTACGGACCCCCCCCCCCCCCCCCCCCGGCCGCCGCTTAGGTAGAAAACCAATATGTCTGGCGGGGGTTAAATCCTGACGCTTTTTTGCGTCCGTGTGTGGGTTAGCGTGTCGCCTCCCGGCCGATCCTGTCTGGCTCTGCGGTCGCCGGCGGCGCTGCGGAGGTGACCGCAAGAGCCCCTCCTCCGGCGGGTCAACACCCGTCCGACCCTGAGGGCGCCCGGCCGGCCGGCAGACCGACTATCTGGGTAACCAGTGAGACCGCAGGCGGCGCCTGACACCCCGCTCCGCCACTTTCTCCGCCACATGACACATCGTGACGTCACGATGACGTAATGCGACCGGCGCGGCGGCGCGGGGGTGGCTGGCAGTGTGATTTGTCCCGATTTTATCGCTGTGGCATCTCGGCGTGGCATTGACAGGCTGTAATCCTCCCTTGATTCACCTGTATCAGTTTATTTGATGTACCTACTTCTTTACCCGACTTTCAGATTCACATGAAGTTGAACACTTAGGATCTCGCGTGAGCTTTGTTGCAATAGTGAATGCCAGGTTTCCTCAATCCCAATATGATATGTGAGCATGAAAGGGGAATATTTATATCAGCGAAGAATTTTGATCACAGTGCCTCACGCCGTATCCACACAAGATCTTTGGTGACGAGTTCACATGCAGTTTCGCATATAGGGACAATTCGTTCCCCGTTACCCTACAGTCGGTACTCACGAATTTGTTCATTAGCCGGTTGACCTTAGGTCGGATGACGTCGATGACGCTGATGATTTGGTCGAGCAGTTTGGTCTCGGCGGTGGCCTTCCCGCCGGAGGCTGCCGCCGCCGCCGCCTCCAGGTTACACGGGTCTCGCCAGCTTCGTTTGACCGGTTTGGCGCTCACTGAGGTCACCAGAGCGGCGATCAGCAGGAGGGGGACCAGCGCCGACTGACCTGAGGGTTATACAGAGGGACCGAGGTCACCAGAAACCAGCGCCGACTGACCTGAGGGTTATAGGTACAATATACACGGAGGGACCGGGTCACCAGAAACCAGCGCCGACTGACCTGGGGGTTATACAGAGGGACCGGGGCGGGGTTACCAGAGCCCACAGCGCTCGCTCTAGATCAAGATACAAACGATGGATGCCAAAGATACGTGATCCGGATATGGTGTCGCCGGGAGACGTCTGGTGCAGATCGGCATGCTATCTCACATGAACAGCTTGGTGACTCAAATCAGTCTAACACAACTCGGACCAGGTTTGACTGCGACGAAGTCGAAGATTATCCAGAATTAACGGCAATCGGGGCGGTGAGAACAGCGGCGTGTCTTTACATTCTACACTTCCCCCCTCTCCCACGCACACAGAAACTCACATGGCTGACACCCTACGGCCTACTCCATCGTATTCCGCTGCGCCGGTCATGTTGATCATCTAAAAAGATGAAACCCAACAATCATTTGGCTCGCTCCTATTCCCGTATCTCGGCTCGGCATTACGAATGGCTAATCGTATTCCTCCGTGGCTAGGTATACTGTTCCGCAGGGCAGACGGGCATGCGGCACAGTATCAGCAGTGCTGTGCTCTTCGGTTTGTGTGTCGTAGGCGCGCCTCGGCGTGCCTGGACGATCGGTGTGGGCGCTGGCGGATGGATGGCGGGCATTTTAGGCATGAGCTGCCCATCTCGCAGAGCCCGATATTGACAAAGTTTCATCGCTTTTCTCGGATAGAAGGAAAACTACACAGTTTTTATTAGATCTAGTTTATTTAAAGTGTACACTGCACAGACAGCAATGCGTTATTCGTATTGCGTAGCTAAGGAGTTCACTAATAAGCCATTAACATGTCGTGCCATCGCGCCATACATCATATAGGGGAGAGTGGTGCAGGAGGCCCCCCCTTAAGCTCAGTTGCTATTTTTAGACAAATGATAATATTTAAGAGCTAACGTGTGCATGCGCTGTGAGCATGCATCATTTTCCCATACATATTTGCATTCAAAATGAATCTAGGGGGTACACAAACCGTAAACTTAAACATTTTGGAAAAAGTTGCAAAAGGGCCTCTTACACTATGGGTATGGTAAGACGCCCCCCCCCCCCCCCTCGGGCGTTTTACAAGTCAAGTCGACTTGTAAAAGACGCTTTGCGAACACAGCTGCAAGGCCTTTTATTTCGAAACGCTAAGCAAATACGGTGTTATCGAAACCAATAACACTTCCAAAGCGCTCGAACAATGCGAAAACTATATATTAGCACAACCAAACGCTGATGACCAACGAAAATTGTACCTATTACCTCTAAGAAAAGAAACAGAAAAAAAGAAACAAAAACAAACTCCTTGAAAGAAGAATGCCACGCCTGCCGCAGGTGCAGGCGTTTTAGCATCGGGGGCATTTTTTATCGGGGGGCGTTTTATCATCCTCGAAGGGAGGGCCTCTTAAAAAAATGCAGTGTTTTAACGTCACAATCTTTATGGTTTATGAGACATTTGCAGCGCACCAGAACATGGTCTATTCTGAAGCTAACATGTGACAAATTTCGATGAGATAAGATTGCATTTGATAGCCATTGTTTTTTCAGATATATAAGGGCGATAAAGATGCATATATCTGGCAAGTAAAGGGGCAAAAACAGAAACAGGCTTACCAAAAGTCTCTGCGACGCACCTGATACCTCAGGTTTCGTGAGTTGTTGTTTCAAGAGGGCTTCTGCTTTACAAGTACATTAAAAAATAAATAACATTATTGGTTTGGTAAAAAAAGCGATGGGGCCTCTTACCGACCCTGGGCGTCTTACACGGATCTCCCCTACCTATAATCAACTGTACATAGAACGTAATTAAAAAACTACGCTTTTTACTTTCTATTAGGTTTGCCTACCTATATCTGGCATCTGCTGCCGATTTCTAATCCTACATAGTTGTATTCCTGTTTTGGAGTCATATTTATGTACCGAACACGGTAGATAAGGTAGGTACGTGGAAGCCGATTTATATTCACCCCTCATATTCCTGCCCAAGCAGCCCAGCAATATTATCGTGTTTTGCGGTTCCGTTAATCTCCTTCTCTCCCTAGACGGCTCCGAGCTCCTGAAACGCCCCTCGCTGGGAACCGGTGTTTCATGAAATGCGGGATTACCTACCAGCCACGATAACGGTGTCGTCTGGCAGGGCTAGTACGACCGCCGTTCATTCATGAATACTATAATTAGGTATGGACACGGCGAGCGTATTTATGTAGATGACTGATGACTGGTAGGTAGGTACTCGACTTTTTGTGTCGGCTCGTTCTGAGCTTAAATAGTTCATCCGATCGGCAACCATGTTTTTCTATCGAGTTCACGGTATGGTAACCAACCCGTGATAGGTACCTATAGACCATGTTAAAACTCTTTCAGTACCCATTACGCCAACTATGAATTGATTGTGTGCTCACTTCAGAAATGTCGTACGTAGGTATTTTGATGGCCGGAGGGATCCAAATCGTTTTTTTTTTGGGGGGGGGGGGGGGGTCGGACGTTGCCGGCTGACACTCATGGACGGACTGGATTAACATTTTGTGTTCGTTCATTGATTAGCCTAATAATACCTACTTACATTGTCAATTAGTGGACTTGTGACCCACAAAAGCTACCTACGTGCTCTTTGCTCAGCCTTTTTAGTTTTTATTCATCTACGCTTATTGTGAGACTCGATTTAGGTACTATACCAAATAGAGACTCCGTGGTGGTCGACCCCTGGAGTATTCGGTTCCCCGTTTCGGCGGACTCACGTGCCGCTGGTCGTGCAGAGGTGTGCCGGGTGGTCCGGCGGGTGTCCCCGGTCGGTGTCTGACCCACGCCCGGTCGTGGATCCCTCTCTGTTCCGCGGACACACAGGGCGCACACCCGACAGTCGCCGGCGGCACAGCCGCTGACGGGGCCCGGCGCGGCCGCCCCCGCAGCCCACCGGCCGCCGGCCGAGGCGCGCTCAGCACTGTCACACTCCTGAGACGGGCGCGCGAGAGACATGGCGGCTGGGCGCGGCTGGCGGGTCGCTGAGAGCCCCCCAAGGCTGCTGCGTACGGACGAGGACACTCTGATATCACCGCTCGTCGCTGACTGTCGGCCGGCGCGGCGCAGACGGGTCTCTGAGAGAGCGGTACTCCCCGGACGTCCGCGGCGCGTCCCCTGTGCGGCAGCACTGCTGTCCGGCCGCGGCGGCGCCCCTCGTAAACAAAGGTGCTACCGGGAACTGCTAATCGGCCGGTCACTGTCACCGCTGGCTGTGCCGCCCGCCAGTCTCCGCGGTCGGCCAGACTCGGCGAGACCACTGCGATGGTCCCGGTCCAACCGAGCGGGACCCCGTGCCGCTCCCCGTCCCACAGCGCCTCTCCCCTGTCCCACAGCGCCTGTCCCCTGTCCCACCGCGGTGGGATCACCGCGCCGATCTCCGGTGTGGTGGGTACCTGAATGCACAGCACAAACACCAACGACCAAACCATACGGTGACTGTGATGACATGTGGGGCGCCACCACCTAGCCATACCCTACGGGAGAGAGGGAGAGACACGCACTATGCGGGAGACTGCAATAACTTGTAGGAAAACAGCATCAAACCCATAGTTTTTTTTTCGCGATAGCTCCAAGCACGCTGGAGATGGAGAGCTGCAAACTTGGCATAGCTGATCTTTGATTCAAGCTGGATCTTTTGACACCAACTGCATTTTCGGGTCAGGTCAGGTCACTGACCTATAACGTCATAAGTGAACCTCTGCACGGTCTTCAGATGTCGCAACTTCGCAACGCCCTCAGTGTCAGAGGAGCTTTCACAAGGAGATGAAACTTTCGGGACCTAGTATCCATTAGAGGTCTCACAGCTTGTATATCTCGGATTTTTCCTAAAGGTCGCATGAGGTCAGGTCAGCTACCGTGACCTCATCATTAGGTAGATAGGTATACCTACCTACATAAGTCAATGGGGGAAAAAAATGAAAACTGCTACTATGGCGCCGGCCGAACGATCTCAAACTATCTCAACCACACGGTGACGGAATCGTGATTTCATGCACTCCTTGTAAGTTGTAAGTTTGGATGCTTCACTTTTGCATTTTTGACCTTGCGTGACGTTATTTATGACGTCACTAGGGTCATTAGAGTTTTTCGTCAATAACTTCTGATCAAATTGAGTTAGCGAGTCGGAAAAGCCACCGATAGACTCGAGAAGACCTGCCGAATCGAATGATATGCGACATGACCTCCTTCGGCCAAGCTTGTGACCTGAGAGACTCTGATCTGACCGTAACCCGAGGCCAACACCTCAACTGACCGCACCCAGACAAAAAGTATAGGTACCATTCGACGCGCTTGAGAAAGGCGAACACGATGTTGTCAGAGTCGCGGCTCTGCGACCAATTTTGCGAAGTTATTTGCCAAAAACCGAACCTGGGCACTTGGGCCACTTGACCTGACCTCAGAGGTCACCAGTTGACCTGAGACCTTAAAATTGGGTACCAATCGCTGCATCTTGATCTTGTAACGGCGCACACGCTCGTTTTTCCGCAACGCTCTAGCTCTATCAGGGGCGAAACGGCGAGAGGGGGTCGTACCCGCCCCCCTCCCCTCGGCCGGTGCATATTTAGAAAACCAATAGGTCCGGCGGACCGTCCGCCGACAGCCGTGCAGCCGTGCATATCTTTTCCGTGCATATATCTACTCGTATCAATAGGACAGGACAGCCGTGCATATCTTTTTCCCAGCTCCCGGGGCCGGTAGGCCAAAGAGGTAGGTGGTACCTACCTACGGACTGGGTAACCTTGGGGCTCAAGCTAAATTCTAAGTGTGCAGTGTGCACTGTGCAGGCCTCGTTTTTTACCAAACGAACCAGATCTATTAGTGTAGTTTAGGTATGAACCAGATTTATCGATTCACGGATGGGCTAAAACCGTAAAAACCTAAATCATATAGCCTCCCTACCTACTGGAAATAAATATGGTAAAATTGGCTTAGGTTACATTTAGTACTACGCTTGTTGCTTTGACACAAATATCCATAATTTAGTGATTTTTCTGAAATTTAACCTTGACTTCCAGAAATAGTTGAAAATGATTACTATGATGATTACTGTCACGAATAAAGTCAGTTACTCATAATTTATTATAATATATTTGTTAAAAACCTCTGAAAATATATATGTCAATTGCATTGGTTGTCTTAGGATTAAGATATTTTACAATTATTTTTTGCTTTATGGCGGCGGTTGTTGCGCACGTTTTCCCATGTGGGACGCGTGCGCGTGAGACAGTTTATTTGCGTCCGATTGGTGAGTAGGGTGTGGGCGGTAGCACAATACCCAATTTTTTATTATTTTCAATTGACTGTCTAAGGTCGAGACTTTCCTAGCTCCGAAATCTCATGCAGACACTCTCACTAGCCTTAAAATCTTTGCCTATTGGATTTGTGACAGGGTAATTGCATGTGGATCGATTCATCAAGCTTGAGTTTTTCAAATTCTGTTTAGGTTACAATATGTTGATGGTTTTTCAAATTTTTGTTACCTTATCTTCACTCAATATACTCTGATCTACAGCTTCATTGAACCTGCAGTGGTTTTTATTTGTCAAGGTGACTGGCTTTTCGTTCATGCTTAGCTCAGGCTGAAGCTCTGCATCAGCATGGGCGATGGTCATGATATGCAAATCTTAACTTAGAAACACTTATGCTGGTGAAATCTGAATTCAGGGTGCCTGGGGCAATTGATCAAGGCTTTTGCAAAATTGACCTGCTAGAGGCATTGGAAGGTAAAGAATTTCTCAATAATCACCTGACTAATATGCCCCCTGGCGCCCTGTTTGCAGATTCCACCCTTCTGCTCACTTGCAATTGCATCTGAATTTGTCATGCTTATAATTTGTACCCTTTTCAGCGATTCTTGTCAATACAATGAGTGCCAGCGCTGTGGAATGCTACAGCTGTCATGAGGTGGGACACATGGCTCGTGCCTGTCCGTCAGCTGAGAAGAATGATTCAGATACCACCAAAACTGAAAAGGTATGCACAGGTCATACTATTGGCACTATTTGAATCTTTCCTTATATTTTTCACTTGCTTGATTTGTAGATATTAGATGGTTGTTCTGAAGTAATGTATCAGTGTGTGGGTGTTGATTTTTTTAACAATATTTTGCACAGCATAGATGGGCACAATCTATTCTTTAAGTGATGAACTGAGTGCTGTTATGGTTTTCAGTAACCAAATGTCACCAGCTATTGTGGCAGCTGAGGAATGTATTTCAATTTTTAAGGGTTCATCTGAATGCTGACTGGCTGTCCCACCCAATTGATTGAATTATTCTGAATTCTTTTAAGCTTAGTTTGTCATTACTAATGCATCAACACATGCTAGTGCCTTGTCACAGGTAGACTTGAATGAAAGAAATTATGTGAAGATAGTTTTTCCCAAGCTGATATTCCATCTTTCAGGACTGCATTTTAAGGTGAATGGTAGGCAAAAGAGAGACAGATTGCATTGCAATGCATTGATACTGCAGGGTTCCAACTCAACACTGTATGGCAGCAAGCTGCCAGTTATCTGAACCCACTGAAGCAGTCTGTCTCAGTGGGTAGAGATGTGGCCCTCTGTATTGGTGGCCTTATTTGGAACCGGTGTCAGTTGCAGTTATGTGTAAAATGCACAGAACATTTTTAGGTCTTTTGTTGTGAAGCTGTAACAAGGTGACTAGCTAAGAAACTTCTGTTACATTTTTTGCAGAGGAGTGGAGGAACGAGTAATGGAAGTGGCGTTTTGAAGGAATGGAGGAGCGAGTAATGAAGTTACATTTTTGAGGAGTGGTGCCCATCTATGATATTTGCTATATAGCTGTGGCTTTGCAGCTTAATGCTTTTTTTTACAAAATACGTTATTCTCCATATTTTGATGTAGCATTTCTTACCTGTGTCTTTGTTTTTGTTGCATAGACAATGTATATTTCATTTATATATTTTGAGAATTCATATAATTCATTATGAATTTTTATGGAACTATCATTTTCCATGACATTTGAACAAAGTGTGATGCAGCAAACAAAATGTTTCATTAACTACAACGGGTAACACCAGGAGTTGGTAGTTGTTTGAAATTGAATACTCGGATGAATGGATAGGTATCGACTGCAATGCTGACAGTTCTGTGTGTGCGTGTGCCAGCCGGCGGTGGTCAGCACCATAGAGTGCTACAACTGCCACGAGACGGGCCACATGGCGCGCAACTGTCCCACGGCCGAGCACAAGCCGTCGGGACCGGCGCCGGGCGCGGCCGGACGGGGCCGAGGCCGCGGCAGGGGTGGACGCACCGTGTTCAGAGGTCAGTGCACAGGATGGGTCAGACGAGTGGCTTATCACTCACAACATGAGAAACGAGCTGGGCGGTTGGGGGTAGCTGGCGGCACTAGCGGCTTCGTAAATCGTGCTTTCGTCAAACAGCATGTGATTCATATGTTATGTTCTCTCTGACCGTTGCAAACAGTAATCGGTTGTTCCATACTTGTACAATGTATTAGCGTATCAGCGGTGCTGTTTTACTGGTAAAGTAGGACGTACGCTATGACCGAGATCTTCGCCACGTCCTAGAAAGCCCAAGCATGGTAATGTCTTACCATTCAATATCATCCAGACGTCCTCACAGTCCTACGACAGCAGGCGCTCGCCCGCCTCAGCCGCCCGTCCCACCCAGTGCTAACCGGCCACACCTCCCTCCCGCGCTCCGCAGAGAAGTGCTACAAGTGTAACCGGATGGGCCACATGGCGCGCGACTGCACGGCCGGCGAGGACGTGTGCTACCGGTGCGACCAGCCGGGCCACATCGCGCGCGACTGCTCCAACCCGCAGGCGGAGCGGCGCGGCCGCGAGCCGCTCTGCTACAACTGTAACGGTACCGGCCACCTGGCGCGCGACTGTCCCGACTCGGACAAGACGTGCTACACGTGCGGCAAAAAGGGCCACATCAGCCGAGACTGCGAGGTCGACGACCGCATGGTGAGTGAGTGAGACCGTGGACACAGGCCCATAGCGCATTAGCGCCATATTTGGACTGAATGCTGTTAGTTGACCTTACAGGGATGGTTCATTAGTGTGTGTGCTGCAGGGGATCGGGAAATGTGTGTTTGTAGCCGCCGTGCTGAGTCGGACTGTGGTCTGACCGTCTGCCCGGCAGTGTTACGTGTGTGGCAAGAGCGGCCACATCTCGTCCGACTGCACTGAGGCCAGCGGCGAGGAGAAGAAGCGCATGTGCTACACGTGCAAGTCAACCGAGCACATCAGCCGGGACTGTCCCGACAACCCGGCCGCCGGCGAGGACTCCTGCCACAGGTGGGTCGTGGGGCACTCGCCGCCTGCTTTCGCTCTCCTGGTCTCTCCCTGGTCTTTCCTTTTTCTCTGCAATCCTGTCCCGCTCCAGGGTGATACTGATTCAGGAGATGAAACTTACACTCAACATTTCGTTCGCTCGCGATTGCATGTGCAGATACTTTTTTTGAGAAGTGGGTAAACAATTGACTTTGCTTCGTTGGTCTTGCAGAAAGCAACTTATGAGTTATGTTAGCCTCATTGACCAAGTTTGGGTCACTTCAATTTCAAATCGGAAATGGTCTTCAGTTTGAGGTTGTGCATCCACAATTGATTGTCAATTTGTATATGCTAAATCAATTTAGGATCTTAATTCGGCCCTGCCCGCCACAGATGCAAGAAGACGGGTCACATTGCCCGCAACTGTATGAAGTGCTACACGTGCGGTGACTTCGGTCACATGGCGCGCGACTGCTCCCGAGACGGCTAGAGGAGGCCGGGCCGGGCCTGCGGGCCGCAGCCAGAAGCACACGGCGGGTCGGTAGCGCCGTCCATGGGGCCGGCGGCCGTCCGCGCACCGCGGCGCCGCCACACGGCTGCCCCAGAGCAGCGAGAGCAAATTCACGACCGACAAATTGGGGAGAGAAAGACGAGGGAGACGACGCAGACGAGCCGTCCAGACGGCCGCAGTCAGTTCGGAGACGTTCGGAGAAGACGGCGCGGGTGCGGACGCGCCGCGGCGGCCCCGGCCGAGTTGGAGCGGCGAGCCGGGGCCTGTCCAGACGGGGAGACAGACGACGGGTGGCGCGCGCGCGCAGCGTGCAGCGCCAGCTGCCGGCGGCAGCGGCAGCTCTAATGCTTTCCTCACTTCTGTTGCGCCCCGGGCCGGCGCGGCGCCCGTCCCGGTGAGTCGGGAGGCCGCCGCCCGGGGTCGGTTTGTTCTTCACACCCTACTTTCGTGCCCCTCGTGAGGGGATGCGTAGCTTGGTTTGTTCGAGCAAAATTGCGTGCCTTGTATTCGATCATGTTTCTAAGCAATAAATTGTTTGCGTCTTCGTCCTCTTTGAGGCAAGGCCGGATGCTGAGCTGGTGAGGCTGCGACTGGTGTGATCATTTGGATGTTGACAGTGAGGCGTGTGACCCTGGCCTATTCACTCCACTGACAGCCGTGCGGGGTTCAGCAGGATCTCGGGAAAACTGGCCAGCTCTGTGGTGGCAATGTCAAGGTTTTGCCTACGTGTTCTATGGTGCAAATTGTTATTTATTTCCATTTTTGTCGATTACTTGCCTAGTCACTTTACACATATTAATGCGGTTTTCTACTCATCCATCCAAAACATGTTGTGTGCATTTCACTTACAAATAAAAGTTCATCTAGTCCTGAATGACGAATTTGCGTATCACCCTCGTTCTATCAGCCATCTTTTGTTACGAAGCTGTCCCGGATCACTAGCTGCTCCCATGCAGTGGTGGACAGTGGTATAACCCTCGAGTGGAAACTGGAAAGGTAAGCGGACGACACACGCCCTGGGCCAACCTCTGCCACCCATTTGTAACAGTTCTGAATCAGCTTTACCGTTTAATTTATCGTGGCATCATCAGACTAGCACGTAAATCATGTGGACGCTGAGTTTCAAGGTGTATATTTATTCGAGTTGATATTGTAATACAGCATTAACAATCCGGTACATTTAAACAATTTAAAGATGGCGGTCAACATTGTCGCCGTCCAGCCGGCTTGTCGACGTGGGCCGTCAGTTTTGGCCCTCCGTGGAGCCGGCAGTGCCTCACTCCTTGAGCCACGTGCCGAGCTCGTCAGTGAGCGCGGTGATACAGGAGCGCTGCTCCCGACAGGGCCGGTCCAGACACTCTGCCGGCGCGGCCCCGCAGCCCACCAGCCGCCGCTCGTGGCGCCACCGCACGGCCGACGCAGAGGCTCTGGTGGCATTGGCGCCCACTAGGCGGTAGTACTGCGCCAGGCAGAACACGGTGTCGGCGCCGGGCAGCTGGACGGCCGGACAGCGGAGGCTGAGGTGCAGCAGGCCCGACTCGGAGGCGGCACAGTGCAGCTCGAGCCGCGCCGGCCGGGCGGCAGACACCAGCAGCCGCTCGGGCAGCTCGGCGGCGCGCCGGGCCGCGCTCAGCTCGGCGGCGCCGGCCGGCGCAGTGGCCGTCAGCTGCAGGCCGTCGCCGCCGCAGCCGCCCAGCGCCGCATACAGGGCGCGCACGTCGCTGCGGCGCACCAGGTGCAGGCCGGCGCCGGCCGAGCTGAGCACCATGCGGCCCAGGTAGGCGCCCTGCTGCGGGTCGGCCTCGATCCGCACCTGGCCGGTCACCGCCCACAGCGCCGGGCCGGCGTCCGGCGCCGCCAGCAGCTCGCGCTCCGGGTCCGCGCGCGCCACCACCCGGGTCATGGCGAACTGTCCTCCGGCGCGGCGCGAGCCGTCCCTGACGGCGGCGGCGCCGGTGACGCCCGCGCGCACGGAGGCCCGCAGCGCGGCCAGCGCGCCGGTCGTGTTGCCGTGGCCGAGCAGCAGGTGTCCGAGCTCGGCCAGCAGCGCGGCGCCGTCGTAGGCGCGCAGCACGCTGGGCGCCGGCTGCTGAGCGCCCGTGGTCAGCCGGCGCAGCACGGCCCACTGCTCGGCCGCGCTGGCCGCGTCCGCCCCGGAGTAGATGAGCGCCGTCAGTTTGACGCGGACGGCCGCCGCGCGGGCCGCCGGCGAGGCCAGGATGTCGTCCCGCAGCGCCACCGAGTCGGTGCCGAACCACTGGGCGGCCGAGAGCCGCGAGTCCCAGCCGCCCTCCTCCAGGAAGTGGCGCATCTCGGCGCCGGAAACGAACAGCAGACCGACGGCGGCCGGCGGCGCCGCCAGCGCGGACACCGCGTCGGCCGCCGCCCGGATGACGGCGCCGCGGCCGGCGGCCGCCGCCGCGTCGGCCGGCCGGTACCAGACCGGCTCAGTGACGTCCGTGGCGGCGCCGTCGAACAGCGCGGCGCGGCGCAGCTCCTCGACCACGCTGCGGCCGTAGGTGGTGTCGGCCGCCACGGGCACCAGGTGCCGGACAGAGCGCTGGCGCAGCAGGCAGAGCAGCGCCGCCGCCAGCGCCGCGTCCCCCAGACTGAGCAGCAGCGGATTGCCCGAGTCCGACTGCAGGTCACCGGCCGTGGCCGTCGGCGAGACGAGTACGGCGTCCGGCGCGTGCTGCGAGGCCCACTGCACGGCTCGCAGCAGCTCGTCGCTGTCCGGGAACCCGATAAACAGCCGCACCCCGTCCGCGTACAGCTGCTGGACAGCAGCCAGAGTGTCGCCCTGCGGAGGGACGAGGTTACACGAGCTCAGAGAGCCACTCTGGCCAATAGACGAGCCGGTGGATGCTGGGTTTGGGCGCCAGCTTCAACGAGGACGACACCATGATTTATACACCGAAGTCGACCAAGAAAACCGGTAAAATAAACGTGCACACTAAATCCGATAGATGAAGATCTCAGCATATGAGTTAATTATTGTAAAAATTAACGACATTGTCCCGGGCTCTCACCGTGGCGGACACGTTGGCGCTGACGAGAGTGACGTTGGAGAGCGCCGGCGGTCCCTGGTCGCCGCCTCCGTCCGGCGCGGCCGCCTGCAGCAGCGGCCGGCCCACGCTGGCGCGTGCGTTGGCGTCCCGGAGGCCCTGCTGCGCGGCGCGGTGGTACGGCGAGCCCTCCTCGAACAGGGAGCCGACGCGAGAGGCAGCGGCCACCAGACGGGTCTCGGCCGACCGGCGACCTGGCGGCGGGCGGGGAGTGGGTAAAGTCAGACAGGCGGTCAGATACCAGCTCCTGACTCGGCGCACAGTGACGAATGGTGGCCATGCCCCATGGCTCGGACGTCATTACCTGCAGGGTACGTGCCATTGCTGAGAACATGGCAGAAATATGACCAATTTTCATTAGCTTACCGTTTGTAAGCCTTTCATGATAATAAATATTATTTACGAGGATCACGACAGTTGGCGATGTAAAAGTTGTCAATGTAATCTGATCAAGATACATGCATACACGTCAGAAGTAGGATGCTTTCATAATTGTCCCATGAAAACCCGTCAACTCTAATTAGCCTATCTGCACCTTCCCACGTTCCCGACCCTGCCCCCCCCCCCCTCCCCTCCCGGAGTCGGTACCTTGCTGACACTGGAGGAGGCGGCCCCGCCAGAGCCGCTGCTGCTCGGCCAGCGCCAGCTGCGCGTCCGACTGGGTGCGGTACCAGGTCACCATGCCGACCAGCAGACCGACCAGCAGCAGCATCAGCAGCACCGTCAGCGACAGGCAGAAGATGCGCCGCTCCGACATCCTCCAGCGGCTGTCCGGCTCCTCGATCATCACCGAGAGACGGTGCTGCCGCCTGCCGGCGGGCGCCGCAAACGTCAGGGACCGGCGGCGCTGCGGAGCCGGGCGGGACAGCCACCGGCACTGGGCGGGGACAGCCACCGGTACTGGGCGGGGACAGCCACCGGTACTGGGCGGGGACGGCCACCGGTACTGGGCGGGGACGGCCACCGGTACTGGGCGGGGACAGCCACCGGTACTGGGCGGGGACGGCCACCGGTACTGGGCGGGGACAGCCACCGGTACTGGGCGGGACAGCCACCGGCACTGGGCGGGGACAGCCACCGGTACTGGGCGGGGACAGCCACCGGTACTGGGCGGGGACAGCCACCGGTACTGGGCGGGACAGCCACCGGCACTGGGCGGGGACAGACACCGGTACTGGGCGGGGACAGCCACCGGTACTGGGCGGGGACGGCCACCGGTACTGGGCGGGGACGGCCACCGGTACTGGGCGGGGACAGCCACCGGTACTGGGCGGGGACGGCCACCGGTACTGGGCGGGGACGGCCACCGGTACTGGGCGGGGACAGCCACCGGTACTGGGCGGGGACAGCCACCGGAGCCGGGCGGACCCATTGATGGTGGGGAGGGGATACAAGGGATGCAGTTACGAGTAAATACCACTCGTTTGCACTCCCCCTAAAAAAGCGACTAGAAACCCTCCAAGGGCCTGATCTGAGATTCAACCGATTACCTGATGCCAGTCACTAAAGCTGGGGCTGGATCCACAGGGCCTCATGTCAGCCATTGGGTCTCAGAGGACCCATATACATTTTCTTAAGGGCCTTAACGCATGCCTCAGAGGGCCTTCGCACAGGTTCCTGAGAGACCCATCGTAGTCTCTTAGGGCTTTGGAGTTTGGACCGATCTGAATGTCTATGCCCGCTATGCCCATCCATAGTCTATGTAGGGTCCCACATAAGCATCGGAGGGCCCTTTGCATTCCATGAGGGCCCAAGTTTAATTCTGAAGGCCCTCGTCGTTTTCTGAGGGTCTCATGCTGACCTCTTGGGGCCTTCATGCTTCCCACGCTCCTTATACATATAGTATATGAGCATTAGAGCTAACCTATGTCCGAGAGGTTTCAGAGACGCTGGCACACGCTGCAGGCTCCTACCTAATTGCCGCTACTGTCTTGTGAGACACTGATGTCTCCAGTGCCAGCAGTGCTAGTGTTTTGTGAGACGCTGCAGTCTTCAGTTGCCGCTAGTGTTACCGTCTTGTGGGACGCTGCAGTCTCCACTTGCCCGCTTGTGCTACTGTCTTTTGGGACGCTGCAGTCTCCAGTTGCCGCGTGTTACTGTCTTGTGGGACGCCGCAGTCTCCAATTGTCGCTTGTATTACTGTTTTGTGAGACGCTGCAGTCTCCAATGGTCGGTAGGGCTATTCTTTTGTGGGACATTGCAGTCTCCTGTTGCCGGTAGGATTAGTGTTCTGTGAGACGCTGCAGTCTCCTATTGCTGATAGTACTTACCTATTATTGTGCTGTGAGACACTGCAATCTCCGAGTGGGAGCAGTGCTATTGTTTTGTGAGACACTCCAGTCTCCTATTGCCGGTACTAACTATTGTTACATTAGACGGCTGCAATAGACGGCTGCAATTTTGTCTCTATTCGTCACTACATTGTTTTACTCTGAAACGTTGACCATGGCACCATGGAAAACAACAAGGAAAATTTTAA